CTGCGTTAGCTAGGTAGCACATGTCAAGGTGCAGCATGCCCTCAGTGAAGACTTTGGATGCTGACATTTGAGTCTGTTCAGTTGGCAGCCCCTTGCAGGTGTTTTCACACAGTCACTGCTGGGAAAGCTAAGTGCATCGCTGTGTGACTGCAGTGGAAGACACATTTCACTTACTTATGGAAGCTTGTATGTGGTTTCTCCTGTGTACTTTTCCTTGGCCTGTTTTAGTGTTATGTTCTGCTGTAATTATCTCTAACCACATGTGTTGGTGATGTGAATTATAAGCAGTCACCAAGACAGTATGGTTCTAGGGCTCTCTGCATGCTCATGAATCCAGCCTTGAGAAAGGCAGACTCAGAGTGGCTCTGGGATCTCAGCAGCAAGACTTGATGACATTTGTCCTTAAATTACAGTCATAGAAAAACTGAGGGCCAGTTGTGGTAGCCTATTGTCTAAAGTCCTCACCTTGCATGCTCTGGGATCCCATATGGGCACCGGTTTGAGCCCTGGCTGCTCCACTTCCCATCCAGCTCCCTGCTTGTGGCCTGGGAAAGCAGTTAAGGATGGTGCAAAACCTTGGGACCCTCTACCTGCGTTGGAGGTCTGGAAGAGCCTCCTGGCTCTTGGCTTTAGATTGGCTCAGCTTTGGCTGTTGAGGCTGCTTGGGGAGTGAACCAGCAGATGGAAGCTCTTCACTCTGTTTCCTTCTCTCTGTAAATGTGACTTTCAAATAAAAATAAAAATTGGATCCCAAACATCTTCTGGATCCAGTCACAGACTCGGATGGGCCCAGCTGAGATCAATAAGATTGTCAAGAATGCAGTGTGATGGATGCTGACCAAATGGGCTCATTTATGTCGCTGCTAGTATGTACTTACTCAGTACATACTTAGTGTTTGTTAAATCTAATGCAGCCATTTGGAGAGTGAACCAGCAGCTGCGAGATCTTTCTTTCTCCATATTTTTATAACTCTATTTTTTTTGCTATTTTTTTTTTATTATTTTATGATACAGTTCCACAGATTCTGGGATTTCTCTTTCCTCTTTTCCAAATTCTTTCCCCCCCCCCCCACTGATTTCCTTTATATCATTACAATTGTTTAGTTCTTCACAAGCAGTTTAAATCCATCATTCTGCTATTTAAACGTATCCTGATATTGTAGGTATGGACCATGGCAGAGCATTCAACATCCTATTTTCGAGATATATTTAACAGTTTAATTGGGAGTCCATCTTTGATTTGGAATTGCAGATGCACATTGCATTTTATCTTTACTTCTCAATATGATCATTTATTACCTAGTTATTATACCACCCCTTGAAGGAAAATCCATAAAAGAAAGTCAACAACAGGAAGAGAAATGGAAAAATGACATGAAGTTAAATAACATGCTACTGACTGTGTTGCTGAAGAAATGAAAAAGAAAATAACCCTTCTTGAAGAAAATGATGCTACTGTATGACCTAGGAGTCTGTGAAGAATTTAATAAGAGAAACATATTGAAGAAATGAAAATAAAAATATTAAAAAACCATGGTACATAGCAAAAACAATATTGAAAAGGCCATTGAGTTTGTACTTTGTAAGGAGGTTGCCTTATGGAAAGAACATACGTTTGTCCTTTTGGGATTGACTTATTTCACTGAACGTAATGGTCTCTAGTTGGGGCTGTTTGGTTAAATAAATCCTTCAGTGGAATGATACTTGTAGACTAGTAAAGAGAGATAAGATTATTCCCTTGCCCGGCCCCTCACCCTGCCACCCCACCACACACAAATGTAAGTTACATAAAATGCTAGAGCTTAGTTTATGTTCCCCAAAATAAGAAAAGGTCAGAGATACCTGTGTATATCTGGATTGCATGAAGTTAATAAGAGCCCTTTTATCTCTTGTAAATCCTAATAGACAATGAGTAAGTCTCATTTTGTGTTATCATTGGAGCTGCTATGGCAAAATAGAAAGGAGGAGAAGAAATGAAGAAAGCTTGGTTGAATGTGTCTCGTGAGCAGATTTCAAAGGGAATAGCCAGGCATGCACAGCTCTTTAGCACCATCGTATACATATTTTTCCCGAGGTTCTACACACAGTCAGAGACCAGAAAAATTTTTGAGCCCAAGTATAGGATTAAGTCTTGGTTGAAGAGAGATTTTGTTTTTCTGTTTTAGTTTGATGGTACAGTACCATAGGCTCTGGGATGTCCCTATGCCCTCTCCAGATCCCCACCCCCACTGACCTCCCCCGTATTATTGCATTAGTATAACCCTTCATAAGCAATCAGAAGTCCATGTTTGAAAGGAGAACACTGAAGGAAGTATGCACTCTTTCATTTGCACCCTTCTCCATCTCCCTTAACCAGCAGAAGATACATCTTAAATTCAGCATGAAATGCTTTGATTCTACTGTCGTGAAACCAAAAATGCCTAGAAGGACAACAAGGAATATTATTCTCCCAAATACTGTAGAAAAGGAAGAGTGTGTCATAATTTCACAGTATATAAGTTAAGCACAATCTTGAGCAGTGTTTGATTTCAATCTGATGACTAAAAACAATAGGAACAAAATCCCATGGTTTTTATTTTCTGTTAAGATAGGCTTCAGTCCAACAACTTCCTTTCTAATTTTTTTCACTTCCAACACTATGACCCTAGTCCTACCAAAGCAATCACACTGGTGCAGCAGCCACTTGACCCTGTGACGGAAGAAACATTTTAGTGGAAAGATGATCTATTAAAACAACATTAAAGGGCCTGGCGCGGTGGCGCAAGTGGTTAAGTCCTAACCTTGCACGCCCGGGATCCCATATGAGCGCCGGTTCTATCCCGGCAGCCCCGCTTCCCTTCCAGCTCCCTGCCTGTGGCCCGGGAAAGCAGTTGAGGACGGCCCAAAGCTTTCGGACCCTGCACCCACGTGGGAGACCCGGAAAAGGCTCCTGGCTTGTGATCGGCATAGCATAGGCCCGTTGTGCTCACTTGGGGAGTGAATCATCGGATGGAAGGTCTTCCTCTCTGTCTCTCCTCTCTGTATATCCGCCTTTCTAATAAAAAAAAATAATAATAAAAATAAATCTTAAAAAAAAAACAACATTACAAAAAATAAATGCAATCACAATAACAAAAGTCTTTTCTAGTTGGTCATTTGTCATATAGAAACAGTACCTTACCTAAGATGCGATGGTGAAAATATCCAATAATGACTAAAATTGTGTGTTTTGTTTGTTTTTGTTTTTGCAAACGAACCAGTTTTCTGGTTTCACACACTATTTGGATTCAGTCAGCTAGCTAGCTATATGTGAATTCGTGCTCAGCATGTGCTCAAACATGTCTAGTGGAGCACACTTACTGAAAAGAAGGATTCAAGAATTGAATGTCTGCAGATCAATGTAGTATTTGTCATTTTGCAAAGAACAGAGGAGTCATGGTTGAGTTTGAAGAACAGACACAGTCTGCAAGCACAGAGGGTGAGTGTGTGAGCTTGGAGTTCGCCAGGCTGGTCCCATGGGGTGAGGAATATCTATGAAAGAATAGTGCAATGGGCAGGGAGGTGAATGGGCTATTGGACTAGGGGGCAGCCAGCTCTAGGAGCCCACGGAAGCACTGATACAAACTGTTGTATTGATGACATTTATTTTGAGTAATTTTATTTATAACCTTAGGATGTAAGGTTATTACATTTTTTTTTCTTTGCTATGTAAGTAAGATGCTGTGTGAGTGGTGGAATTTAAATGAAAGCTATTAAAAGTAAAAACTTATTTTTGAACATGTGTTTGACAGCATGAGCACAAAATGTGTTCAGCTGCTCATTTCATAAGGAGAAAAAATAGATTTTAAAATAGAATGGTACCATTCAGAGATGGAAAATCATGCAGTCAAAAGAGATATGTAAATGGTTCAATCAGTGGGTGGGAAAAAGTCACACTTCAATAAAATATTCGATGAGTAAGAATTCCTACACAGAACATATTGTTAAAGGAAGGAAGTTGAAAATTGGAAATCTAAACATTAGGCCTTCAAAAAATTCCATGAAAAATAAAGAAACTTATGGAACTTGAACTCAGGTAATAAATGGAAAAAAAAATATGATACTGTAAGAATTTGATTATCTGTTAATCAGCATTAATATCATTGTTGCTTAGTTTATCATAAGTCAATATCTCACAAGGTTTGATGAACTCCAGTACATTAAATATTTTAATATCCTTCACACAAAATAAAAATCCCTAGCAAATATGACCTTGGCTTTGGATTGCTTCCCCAGCAGTGCACTTTTTGAGTGTCAGTCTGCTGTTGGGATGATGATCCTTGGGAAAGTTTCCTAGGTTCCCCCAGGAGGGAAGCTGACCACAGCCAAGCATCCCACAGAAAGCTGAGGTCTGTGGCTCAGCACTGAGCTGTGCCAGGTTGTGGTGAATGTGCCCTTGGGAAGGCTGTGCCTGGAGAGGCCACAGGAAAGTTGCTTCTAGAGCAAAATGTCTATTTCAAGAAAAAAAAAAAATCTCCTGCCTGTGTTAAGGGTCTAGCATTGGAATTGTCTGAAGTTTCTGAATGTTTTATCTATACTTTTTTTAATGTAAATTTCCACAAGGGTTTTATAATTTTATTAATGTATCCTGTAAGGCATTTACATGCAGGTACTGAGCAAGGAACCATAATTAGAATTTGCATATCCTTACCACATATTTATGTTTGAGGCCTTGAGCTCCCCTCTTCTAGTTCTTGACATGATATGTAACAGCTCACTGAGAGCTGTGGTTCCCCTGCTGTTTGTGTAACACTGGAACATGTTCTTCCACTGCTTAATTTTTCTTAGAGTTATCAATAAACTACTGGCAAAATTAACTAACATGAAGAACTAGGTACATAGAAATTCCTTTTGCAGATTTCACCACATGGATAGCCAAGATTAGAGAGACTCCTTTTTTGTTTTCTTTTTGTTTTTTTGTGTGTGTTTGTTTTTTTCATTTTTACCTTGACTTTTTTGTTTAATTTTTTTTTTTTTTTTAGCGGAAACCTCCCATGGCGGTGGATGACCTTTTTGAAGACATGAAAGATGGTATTAAGCTGCTTGCTCTCTTGGAGGTCCTGTCTGGGCAGAAACTGGTAAGAATTCTTTTTCTGGATTTGTGTGTGTCAAATTCTTCCCACTTGGAACTTGGGAATACATTATTGTGAGCATAACGAGTTCTGTCTGCAAAAGACACTCTTACCGAAGCACTGGGCTTCTGGCCGCTTCAGGAGTACATTTCCCTTGGAGTACATTCCCAAATGGAATACATTTCCCTTCTGGTTTCTGCACACTTCTAGTGGATTTAAAACAAGACTCTATACATAAGAGTGGTAACTGTTGTGTCAGGATGCTGTCTACTAAGATAGTTGCAAATTACCATCTACTTCACCTTGTCAGCTTACCGTTTGGAATGGATTGTTGGTCCGTAGCTATGTATTTATGTAGCTATGTGTTTTCACGGTGGCAGTTTCATATCCTAGCTAACATTCTCCCCCATCAGTCATTCATAACAGGAACAGCATGTTCAGGATTATTTGTTTTTATGTTCTGCGAGGCAACAGAATGGAAAACAACCTTGTCAGCAAGCTGTAAAATATATTTCTCATATATCTTCAAGCAATAAAATATTTTTTCTTGCTCATGTGTTTTTTTCAGAGCACCAGTGTGGTAAACAGTTTATAAATGTACATTATTTATAAATATTGCTTATTATAATTGGAAATGGGAGCTCAGGAAATGGGGAGTAAGTTTTTAAATCTGTTGTATCTCAACAAGAACTCCATGGTCACATGACTTAAATGACCGAGATTTTCAGATTATTTTTACTTGAACAGAAGTTTTTAGCTAATTTTGTGCAAACATTTCAAAATAGCGTCTGTAAATAGTCATTTTTTGCAAAATGCAAATAATTTTGTGCAAATCTTTTATATAACTGGTTCACTTCACAATAAATGCTTTTGGTGCCTCACGTCCCAAACCGCTCCCTTTGGATGTTAGACATGTTGGCATGACATTTCATCCCAATTTAAGTGCTGGTAATTACATTCTCGGTTAACGATTCAGGGATTATATCACAGCCACAAGTTACATTCCACATCCCGAAGGACCCCCAGACAGTGGACCAATTCTGAGACATATTGTATGTGTCTATATGGCCTATTCTTTACTTAAATTATTTACATAAGGTAAACAAGCTTCATGTCATTCACAGTGGGGATTTAGGAGCATAGTAATACTTCCTGCCTCACCTTCTCTCTTACCTACATTCCCCACCCTTAGTCCATGGGCCTTTCAGCCTGCCTGCCTGCCTGCCATCCGTCCTTCCTGTCTGCCTGCCTGCCTGCCTGCCTGCCGCCTGTCCTTCCTGCCTTCCTGCCTGCCTGCCTGTCGTCCGTCCTTCCTGCCTGCCGTCCGTCCTTCCTGCCTTCCTGCCTGCCTGCCTGTCGTCCGTCCTTCCTGCCTGCCTACCTGCCTGCCTGCCGTCCGTCCTTCCTGCCTGCCGTCCGTCCTTTCTTCCTTCCTCCGCTCTTTTTTTTTTCACTTTTTACACTGGGATGCTTCCAGATCACATTACAATCGCAGACTAAATATCGCACTAGGCAAATAATTCAACAAATAGTAAGTAGGAAAAAGAAATAACTACTGTTTGTTAAGTATATAGACAAATATAAAGGCAGATAATAAATCTCAAATCATAAGTTTCACTTATGTAAGTCACATTTTTCTACCCTGTGTGTCAGTACAACTCAAGGAGAACATAGTTTTCTTTATTGCAACATAATGGTTTCAAATTGAGTCCATTCTCTTGCAAAATACAGGTTTTCATTCTTTTTATGGTGGAATGATATTTCACAGTGTAATATATCATGTTTTTTAAGTCCATTGATGAGTATCTGTATTGATTCTATATCATCGCTATTGTGAATAAATATAGGTGAACATATAAGCTAACTCGCTTACATGCTGATTTCGTTTGGTTTGCGTAAATTCCCAGGAGTGGTGTGCTCCCATTTCCGAGGAATCTCTCCATCATGGTTAGTTTACATTGATGCTGACAGTGCATTAGAGCTCCTTCTCCCCAGGTTACTTGCCAGAACCTATTATTTTTGATTCTCTGAAGATAGTATTCTAACTGGATGAGATAAAATGTTGTTGTGATTTCAACTGGCATTTCCCTGATGGCCAGTGACCCTGAGCATCTTTTCATGTGGGAGGGCTTCAGGGCTACCCTGTCTATTCCAACCCTTGTTCCTGCTCTCATGCTGATGTGTGTGAGCAGAGGCTTGTTCTGTGAAGTCCTCAGTGACCATTTTATGGACCTCAGTGGCATGCTGAGAACTCCCTCCAGAATGTTCACAGCTTGGTGGATAGCTGCTGTGGTGCTTGAGGTATGGGGCTTCGTGAACCCACACATGCCTTACCCTGCGATGGTCACCTGTAACCTATCTTTAAATACTTGCTTAAAGTCAGATCTTGGAAATTATTACTTGAAATGCATTAATTATAAAGGTACTGTTTTTGACCTTCAATGAGTTTATTTAGAACTTTAAATTGGCTGAGTTGAGTATCATTTACCAGCTATACATCTTAGAAAAATTACTTCAGTTATATAAACGCAAAGGAAACTAATAATGGCTACTTAATTGAAGTTCCTTTGAGTCTTAAATGCTGTGGCATGAATAAAATGAATAATGCAGTTTTCCTAACTTCAACACAGACAACTCAGGGTTTACATATACAAGAACACACTCTTTTATGGATAATAGTTTCATTTTCAAAACCATATTTTTAGGCTTCAAATAAAAAATGCTACAAAAGATGTTAATATCTTTGTTTATATGGCTGAAAAAAACATGTGACAAATAGTAATTCCCCTCCCCCTTGTGCTCATTTGAAGGAGTAACAATTTCATTGACACTATGAAGGTTTTGAAAATCTATTCTTGGGCCAACGGAAGCCTATGTGACAAATGGAGTAACAGAGCAGCTGAAAAGGAATGTGCTTATTAAATAAATTACTGCATCGTCGAAAGTGCCAAGAGCATTCCTTCATGTATTTATAGAAAACAACTAACCTTTATAGAAATGAAATAATGTTGGCTTCTCCCAAAAGTTCTGTCAGCATATTTGAACTCATATTAATAGCCTTATATATATACATATATATTTTAATATATATTATATATTATGCATATATAATATATACATAATATTATATACATAATATATATACATATATATTTTAATTTGGTTTCCTCTCATTCTTTGACTTTTCATAGCCTTGTGAACAAGGACGCCGTATGAAGCGAATCCACGCTGTGGCGAACATCGGCACAGCACTCAGATTCCTGGAAGGGCGAAAGGTAAGAGGAACAAGACACCAGGCACCCGAGAAGGTGTGGGCGTACTGCCTGAAGAACATATGTAGCCGTAGTACCAACGTAAGGTGTTGAAATTGTATTTCCTGCATTGTATTGTAACCAAGGCCACAGCATTCATTCCAGCTCTACATGCCTGCTTTTATTTTTTAATGAAAAGCCTGGTTCTCATCTATAGTCACCTAGTTTTTCAGTTTTAGTATGCATAAAACTAGCTTTATGCATACTAATTGCAAACCCATGCCCTTTCACAAATAAATATACCACCTGGAAAATAACTTTTGCATACACTTTTTTTTTTTGTCTTTAGTGTTTCAAGATCTTTCGTCCATAAATTAGTTCTGTTATTCTTCATCCCCTTCTGTGAGTTTGTGCTACTCATTTGTAGTACAACTATTTTCACTTGTCATTACTTGTACTGCATTTTGCCCTCCCACACATGTACACATGTCCTGGTTGATTTTTAATTATTTTGTTGAATGGCACATTCCATGGCTGTCAGGGAATTAAGTTATGCTTAGGGAAGGCACGGGGTCCTATCTTGTCCCCAGGACTCTATTCTCATTCCCCTGCCATTAACTCCACTGCCCCCTCCTGGCAATCAGATGCTAGTTTCCAAACTCCCTTCATTTCCATTTGTGAAGTAGCTGTGTTTTCATATAACCCACTATTGTATTTATTAATATGAGCATGCTATAAAGTATTTTGATTTTTCCATTTAGGAAAGTGACCGAAGTCAGTTCATACAGATCATAACCACAGATCGTGTGATATTCCATCCTTTAAATATGCCAGAGTTTATTTAATATCTCTGTCTCTCTCTGAATGGACATATAGACTCTAATTTTTTTTTTCAAATACAGAAAATGATGCCATTTATAATTGCTTTAATATTAGAAATATCTAGGTAATAATAAATCATAATTGTGATTTCTGTGTAAAAATGTAAGTGCGTATGTATTTTGTGATATCCTGCCATCCTTCTTGCCAAAGGGCTGAAGCAACCTGAAATTTGACCTTCCCAATTTGTGGGAGATCAGCTTTATAAGTAGCTAACCATAAAGTTCTGGGAAACGCTAATTGGATTATCTCTTTCTCAGTTCATGTGTACTAAAATCAATTCACTTACACCACAAATATATGAATGAGTGCTTCTATCAAGCAGAAATTCTGAAAAATGCCAGATTAAACTGAAAATCTGCCCCTCAAAATCTACGTTTTGGTGTGCTGCTACTACAGTGAATTCATTTAATAGTCAGTCAGTTATGCAAACTCCATTCCCAAAAAAGGTCAGACATTTAAATAGTACAAAAAGCAATCCTAGTTTCCCAGGAAAGTTTGAACATCTCACTGTCACCTTATTCTTACTGACTGTCCTATTTGTTGCTCACCCTGCATTCGTTTTTCACAGAAGACTTAGTTATGCTTGGAGGAAAATAAGTTCAATTATTCAAGTCATGTATTTTTCTATTTCAGCTGTATAACAATAAGGCTTTACTTCATTATAATGTATATTTCATGTTTATAATTTTATAAAAGTAAAATCTTAATGATTTTGAAAAATATGTTTAGTACATTACCTTCTAAAAGGTGCAATTTATGCAAATGAGCTGTTTTCATAGAAAACTGCCTTTCATGGTATATCAGTTAATAGATATTTGAAGACTTAGATTTTAATATTATACTATGGCGATAAAATAATGCATTTGCATCTTAGATATCCTTACGGTAAACCATCACAAGCTCTGAACTTCTCTCATTAATAAACTTCATTGAATCTGGGTTTAAACTTATTTTAAAAGATCTCTTATTTGGAAGACAAAGACTATTATTGTTTTAAAAATTGCTTATTTATGAGATAAAGAGCTTCTGTTCACTGGTTTATTACCCAAGATAACGATAACAAGCAGTTGAGGGTCATGGCTAAGGCTGAGGTCTGGAAACTAAACCCAGATTTACCTGTGGATAGCAGGTTCCCCAGGATTTGAGCTGTCTTTCAGAGTGCGTATCAGCAAAGAGCTGTAGTTGAGTGCCAGAACCAGGCACTGTCATGGAAGAAATGTGTTGTTGAAGTAGCATCTTCAACATTAATATAAATGTCTGTTCCAGCTTTGACTTGTGTTAGAAGTCTCTAGAATGCTCTGTTCTTTTTCTTTCTTGTTTGGGCATTATGTGAAGGGTGACGAAGAGTTACTGATCAAATGCTGTGGCATCTGATATACTGCACAAGTTGTTTTGCTGGGATGGAGGAAGCAACGCTTAATATTTAGGAAAACATCAAAAGGAATGGAAGGGGACAATTAGTAGCAAATTGTCAGCTTTCTTAAAATCCTCATCGTTTTCATCCAAGATAGGAAATGAATGCTAAAGTGTCTCCGTTTCACTGTCTCCTAAATATCCTTTGCTTTTTCAAATTTACTGCCGACGTATTTATTTCCTTTGAACAAATGATTCTGACTTTGAAAGGTCGCTGATGTGTGTGTATATCATCTTCTCCTTTTGCTTTTCATGCCAGTCCATGTACAGAGGATCACCGGTTAGTACAACTTTTAGAATTCTTAACCCCAGATTTTTGTAGGTATAAGAGAACCTGAGTTTGATGCTACTTGGTAACAAACATCAAAGTAAGTGCATCCTCCTGGTCTACTCATCATTTGGTTTCTTTGTCATTCTGTCTCTAAATTTGAAGAATCCCTTTCTGTTTGTTTGGCTTTTTAAAATTAATGGTAGTTTCATGCATGATGTTATATTTTCCAGCTTTACTCTTAAGTCAGCCTTATAGTTATTTTTTATTCTGTGCACCTAACAAATGCACCTGAAGTTTTCACATGCTTGTTTGTTTGTTGCTTGTTTTTTGACTCAATCTACTGACTCATGTGGAAGACTACATAGGCATGCCCAAACCTTACTGATGTCTGATAAAGTTCTGATTATGACAATTAAATGCACCATAATAATCTCGCATGCTACTAGTATGATTTTTCTTTTTAAACAGATTAAATTGGTCAACATTAACTCCACGGATATAGCTGATGGCAGACCCTCAATAGTTCTCGGATTGATATGGACCATTATTCTGTATTTCCAGGTACTGTGCTATAGTTTGATTCTTCATTACCCAAAATAGTATCATGAAGGGAGTCGTTCACTTGTTGTATCTTTGAGGTGGATGCTCACTTTAGCAGGAATAGGAATTTCACAAGTATATTTCTTTTAAATAGCAGGAGGTCATTTTCTCTTCTCCTGTGCAATGGTGGTATACTTGGTATCTCTGATTCTTAGAGTTCCAGCGGAGGTACCCAGTGTGAAAAATGAACGTTATATGTATCTGTACATGGGGTTAATTTTTTTTCATTTTTTGCTGGGATAGAACATTTATAAGTTCATATTCAGCAAGAGGGGGAGAATTGACTCGCCATTCCATCCCAAATCACTGTAGTAACCATTGAGTTTGTTAATGTATTGAATGAGCAAGCATATATTAGATGACAATGTGAGCACATAAGAGGAACACTACTCAGACCCTCTAAGTCATATATTTTGCCAAAGATGTTAAAGATCTCAACATTAATCGCATCTAAATAGAACAAACTAGATGTGGAACAAAAAGCTGAGCTCATTCCTACTGCTGTGTGCTCACAGATCGAAGAGTTGACCAGCAATCTGCCACAGCTCCAGTCACTGTCGGGCAGTGCCTCTTCTGTGGACAGCATTGTCAGCACGGAGACTGCCAGCCCACCAAGTAAACGCAAGGTGGCTACCAAACTCCAAGGCAATGCCAAGAAGACCTTACTAAAGTGGGTTCAGTATGCAGCTGGCAAGTAAGTATTAATACTTTGTTTAAATTTTTAATCCTTGGAGTGTGCTTTAGGTTTAGGGTTGATGCCTGGAATTTGTCGCTGGGTACCTGTGCTGGAGTTCTGGCTCTGACTCAAGTAATTGAATCCCCGAAACCTATTTGGGAAGTCAGGATTGAGCTCTTGAGTGTGAATTCAGTGCAGCAAAGTACCGGCTGTAATTATGACAACATGACTGTGTGTGCTTGGCAAGGAGAAGGGATCCTGAGATTCCCCATGACACAGACCAAACCACAGGACCCTGCACGGCCAGATCAGCTCACTCTGGGGAGATGGTCTAATTTCATTCTTTTTCTGATTGAATAGGTTTCCATAATGTTTATGTACCATATTTTCTTCAACTATTGATGGACATCAAGGTTGATTTAATATCTTTATTGTGTATTGAAGCACAGTAAATCTGGGTGTAAAGATAAGTCTCATATGCCAATTTCATTTTGTTTGTATAACTTTGCAGGAACAATATGGCTGGGTCATGTGATAGACCCATTTTCAGATCCCTGAGGACTCTCCGTACCGTCCCTCATAGTGACTGTACTAGTTTATACATTTTAGCATATTTCTATACAAGGATATTATAGCTATTTTATTGCCATTACATTGAACATATAAATTGATTTTGGCAACATGAATATTTTGACGTTAATTCTACCAATCCATGCACAAGGCAGATTTTTCTTTGCTTTGATATCATCTATTGTTTTTCTTCAATTTTTTTTTTGTAAATTTCATTGTATTTTAGTGATTAGAGTTATGCCAGGGAATTTACATTGTCTGCAGCTACTGTGAGTGGCTCTGATCTCACAGGTTTTCTCGAAGTCTATGAAGGCCCTGGTTTTTGTGTGTTGATCATATTCTACAAATTTACCAAGTTCCCTTCTCAGTAGAGTTTCATGTCTGCCCTCTGTAAAGAATCTCACCGTCTGCAAACAGGCAGGCTTTGCTCTGTCCTTCCCAGTTATCACTTTCTTTTCCTTTTCTTGCTTTATGGCTGTGCCTGAACATCCAGGGCTATCTCAAATATCAGTGGTGAGAGTGGCCATCCTTAGTTGGTTCTAAATTTTCCACAGTATGAAGCTGGCTGTTTCTCATAGATTGCCTTAATATGTTGAGGAATGGGCTAGCAGTACATCCATTTTGTTTGTTTTCAAAATTATTTTTTTAAATTCATTGATTTTGGGTTTCAGTTTTGTTTGTTCTATAATTATTTCTAACTTTAAGCCTTTTATTTAAGTCCTTGAAATGCATTGAAACATCCTTTACTTTGAGCTTTTCTATGTTCTTGCTATGGGCACAGATTGCTATGAATTTCCCTGTTTACACTGTTTTTGCCATATCGCATAAGTTTTAAAGTGCTGTGCTGTCAAATTCACTCATTTTCAGGAATTTTTAAATTTCCATGCTTCTTCTGCAACCCACTTCTATGTTCATTCTGTAGCATATCATTTCATCTCGATGTACTTGCATGCTTTCAACAATTTCTTGAGTTGTTGATTTCCAGCTTCTTTCCACAGTGGTCAGAAAATGATACATGGTATGATTTTATTTTTCATTAATTTTCCTAATGCGTGCTTTATGGCTTAATACAGAATTTATCCTAGAGTATGTTCTGTGCACTGATGGAAGTATTCTGCAACTGTGAAATGAAATGTAGACATCTATTCTGTTTGGTCCGTGGTATATACTTGAACTCAACTGTTTTTTGTTGATTTTCTGTCTAGTTGATCTGTCCATTGATAGATGTGAGATGTTGAAGTCCCTTATTATTATTGTATGGGAGTAATGTCTCCCTTTAGACCCATTAGCAATTGTTTTAAATAGCCAGGCACCCTGGCATTGTGTTCATTTACATTTACTAAACTATCTTCTTGCCTGATTGATCACTTAAGCATTATGGCTTTCTTCATCTCCTTTCATGATTCAGGCATTAAAATCTAGTTTTACTGGTATCAGGATGACAACGCACATCCACTTTTCCTTGCCATTAGTGTGAGGTATCTTTTTCCATCCTTTCACTTTCAGTCTATGTGTATCTTTGCTGGTGAGATGTTATAGGCAAAAAATGGATGGGTCTTGTTTTTTAATCCAATCCATTTTGATTGGAGAGTTTGGACCATTTGTGTTCAGTGTAATTATTTAAAGGAAATGACTTGGTCCTACCATTTCTCCAAGCTAGAGTGACAGAGAGGATGAGAAAGAGAATTCTCCGTCCTCTGATCCACTGTGCAAATAGCTGGAACCACCAGTGCTGTGTCAGGTTGAGACCAAGATGCAGAACTCCTGCCATGTGTCTCACAGGGATTGGTCTAAAGACTGGACCACCCTTTGTTGTTTTCCCAAGTGCACTGGCGAAGAACAGGAATAGAAAGCAGAGCACTTGGGATTCCAACAGAAGCTCTGGTGTAGGAACCTGGAGTTGTACTCAATGGCTTGGCCTATGCCAAAGAAGTGGCTTCAACTCTGATTTTATAGGCAGATTATGTTTTTCTGGTTTTCATTTGCTTATAGTCAGAACAAGTGTACGCATAGAAACATTGAAGTGGTGAGTGATAAATGACTACTCTCCATTGGGAGCTTTCTTTGTCATGGTAATTTCTTCTTTTAATTGTGATCAAGATAAATCCCTTCACATAGAAGTTGTTAATTTGATTTTTTCTCCTGACATATAAAACTCATTTTATATCTTGTTTTGTGTGTCTAAATTTAACTGGATCTGATTTTCTGTTCCTGCTTATAGTTGTAAATAAATGATTGTTATAAAACATTGAGGTATTAGAGTTCATTTAAGAACAGCAAAAATGAAGAGAAAAACACTAAGAATATATAATTAATGATGCTAATTTGTGCAATTTAGTCGATATTTTAGAATGTCTTAAGAGTTTTCTAATTTGGGATGTGTATTTATTATTCAAGAGCAGTCAGAAAGATTCCTATAGCAAAGCTTTCTGACTCTTCAGAGTCTGCAGTAGAAATAAAATATTGATTCCTCCCAGGCTGAGCACAGCAGCCTAGTGGCTAAAGTCCTTGCCTTACATGTGCTGGGATCACATTTGTGTGTTGGTTCTAATCCTGGTAGCCCAACTTTCCATCCAGCTCCCTGCTTGATGCATGGGAAAGTGATTGAGAATGGCCCAAAGCCTTGGGACCCTGCACCTGTGTAGGAGACCCAGAAGAAACTCTGGGCTCCTAGTTTCAGATTAGCTCAGCTCTGGCCATTAGAGTGACTTGAGAAGTGATTCATTGGACAGAAGATTTTTCTCTCTTTTTCTCCTCTCCTCTATATATCTGAATTTCCATTGGGTGTTGTCGATCTCTATTGGAAATAAAAAAAAGGTGCTGGGTTGGAGAACACACAACCTTGTGAAGATGCTGTCGCAATTAAGTTTTATAACCGTCAATGTAACGTCGTCATTTATTATTCCACACAGCATTGGATTGTTACAGTATACTCACCATTTTCATATATAACTTAATATATAAGAATGAGATTTAAAAATCCATAACAGGATTTGTAAGTGCCATTTTTAAATTGATTTCATCTCCTGTCAGTAGTCCAGAAATAACAGCATATAACCTTACACTTGCAAACCTGTTGGTGTCTAAGAACAACTGTATTTTATGATGAATATTGATATGATACCAAATTAATGAAACTGGATATAATACTACTTACAGTAGTAGTAAACATGTATTACAGGTCAGAAATTCCTGTAAACCAGATAAACTTTATGATTTCATTAAGGATTGTATCCAAATTTTCTTTGTGTTTTTTTATGCAAAATTCTTGAATGAGAAGTTTGGAATAACAGTACAAGTCTTTGAAAATATTAAAAACTGCATTGGACTAATAAACAGTGGGTAAATGCACAAACATAACACCATCAGTGTTCAGAAAGTTCTTGCAAATGTGTGTTATGAAAAATTGCATGGGTTTCAAATATTTTTGTACCGAAGCAAATCCATACCAGCTCTTTATAAAATTTCTTTACAACATCTACTTTAATGCAGTAAGAAGAACATCGATAGGAAAGAGCCGTACATTCTTCTGAGATTGAACCAAGTTCATCAAATGTATGGTAAAGCTTGGGGGGAAGGACGATGACATTACTCATGCCTTATGAAAAGCTTATTGGGAGAATGTCCCAAATATATCAGAGATTTACAAATGCATGGCTTGTTTTAAGAAAGGAAAGACCTGTTGCTGCAACCATTTGCACATCCTTCGTGAAGGTCATCCGTGACTACTAAGAGGAACAGCACAACAGCACAGTTTATGCAATTTTGACTGAATCATTACAAACTTTCCACTCTTGGTACCAAAACTGTAATACCTCCAGAAGAGCAGGCAGGAACACAGCTTTCAATGGCAATGTTTAGAAAGTGGGATTGACATCCTGAGACATTTCTGTAAGAACTGTAACATGAGATGAAGCAAACCCTTGCCAGGATGATTTTGAACATAAAGCACGATCAAACCAGTGGTAGAAAGGGCCCCAGTGCCATCCCAATGAAATGCTGGCATCGGGGCACTGTGGATTAAGTCTGCTGAGTATAACACTGTTAACATCGGGGAGCTTGTTGGAGTCCTGGCTGCTCCACTTCCAATTCAGCTTCCTGCTAGTAAGACTAGGGAGGAAACAAACGATAGTCCAAGGAGTTGAGTCCCTGCAGCCCGTCTGGGAGACCACGATGAGATTCCTGCTCTGGGCTCAGCCATACACACAGACCTGGCTGGCTGGGGCATTCGGGGAGTGAATTAAATGCAAATGAGGAATCGCACAGTTGCTGTCTCTACTTTCTGAAAAAATGAAAAAAAAAAACTTTAATAAGAAACACGTAAGGGACATTTCATTTTCTTCAGCAATTAAAATAAAGCAGACTAAATTAACGGTCAAATTTCCAGTACTGTTCCTCAGGGAAGGACTCAATAGCATGTATCATCTCTTGCGTAAGTGCCTTGAACTGTGTGGAGCTTATGTTGAGAAATGAAGTTGATAGAATTTGCTCTTTCTGTTTTCATGAACTTTTCGGAGGCCCTTACAAATGCATGTATGCAAATTTTCTGGTAATAAATACAGAAGAAAGAAAATATACTGAACACTTTGAGTTATTTCAACATAGTAAATACTCGGGAAATATTACATTTTTTTTTCTTTTTGAAAAAGGCTTTAACAAATGAATTTAAGAAAATCAGAAAATATCAAACATTGACTATTAGGTAGTAGCTGTTCCATTTACATCTTATTGTAATTGTTTGAAAACACATTTAAAGGGAATTCAGGGGACATGAATTTTTAATAATAAGATGTATGCAAAAAGAAGTTTAGGATAATAAGGTAGATAACTGAATAGAAAGTAAGGGCAAATTAACAATGTAGTTGAATTCCAGTGCTGGTAAGAATTACATGTGAAATTAGAGATGCTGAAAAACTGTTTCAAGATTGTCTTGTATTTATTGGAATCTTATAAAGTTATTTTTTGAAATATTCATGTTTGAAACCAGTGATTAAGTCCAGTGCTACCTTTTTTTTTTTTAGCACAATATACTGTAGGCCAACTGAATGCATATTGGTAGAAATATTTTAAAGTGAACCTCAAGTTAGCTAAGAGAAATTTTGAAAACTTACCAATTAAATTAATTCTGTTAGTATGTCAGTGGCGATGTGTTTTTAATGACAAATTGGAAAATCTAGCAAAAAAAAAAAAACCCTTTTCTTTTTAAATCAACGATTGTGCAGTTACTAGGACTAAATCTTTCAGGATAAACTGAGAGATCACCAGCTCTGTTGCGCTTACTTAGTTCAGCAGTCGTATTGATAGTCTACCCAGGACTGCCATGGAGCTCAGAAAATACTTGCCAGTTCTTCGTGCGGAGCTGCTCTTCTCATGAGTTCTACAAGACAAAAACTCCCTCATGATCGCATTGCATTTCTGTGCCCAGTTTGAATCCTAGTCTAAATCTCAAGTGGTTTAGAACCAATGAAATCCACCAACAGCTCTGCCACCAAGACGTAGTCCTCACAGTCATTAAAAAATGGATGAAAAAAGTGACATTTGATGGATGAGATAATTGGAATTACTGTCTGGACTGATATGATAGGGTACTTAATGGCCACTTTAGGTCCATAATCACATACATTTAAATTTGTATATTTTAATGTGTTTACTGTAATTCAGCTACACTGGTAGCCATCAAAGACTGAAAAATCTAGTATTTGTATAGGAAACACTAGAACTAAATTTGTGATCTTACTACACTGAGTTTTGTTCTCTTGCTTAAAGACAGAATTGATATAGCTAGCTCTACGTTGTTGATAAAAAGCAGTGGGTTTTGCGTGAAGCATTAAGCAGAGCTTACGTAAAGTGAGCATGTGACATGATTTTGTGTTTTTTTCCACATAAAGGCAGCCTGGTTTGGAAGTGAAGGACTTTGGACGGAGTTGGAGGAGTGGGGTTGCCTTTCATTCCGTCATCCATGCAATCCGGCCAGAACTGGTGGACATGGACAAAGTCCGAGGTCGATCTAACCGTGAGAATCTAGAGGAAGCATTCGCCATTGCTGAAGTCCAGCTGGGAATCCCCAGGCTGCTAGAACCCGAAGGTATCTCAAATAGCCGAGGGTAGTTGTATGTTGTTAACACATTGGACTTGGGTGGCCTATCCCAAGCCAGAAACAATGCACTTCATGTACTATGACTCCAGATAGAATAACTAAACTTGTATGAAAGGGCATTGTTGTGGAGTGGTGGGTGTAACCACCACCCAGAATGCTGGCATTCTGTATGGGAGCCCAGCTTCTCCATTTGCAATCCAGATCCCTGCTAATGGGGTGGGGAGATGGTCCAAGCGCTTGGGCCTTTACCACCCACATCGGAGACCTGAATGAAGTGCCTCACTTTGTCCTAGTGCCGCACTGGCTGTTGCAGGTACTTGGGGAGTAAACCAAAAAATGGAAGATTTCTGACTCCTCTCTGTGTAGCTCTTCCAAGTAAATAAATGTATTTGTTAAATCTTTGCTGATTTTGAAGTAAACATGTATTTCAAAACCACAATGACTGAGATATTTTCAGACTGTCTCCCAGTGAAGAGCTCTCTCAGGAATTGAACCTAAGCCCCACCTTTACTTCCACAGCAGAATTTGCAGGGCACAATGAAAGGATAATTTGCATTTTGATGGATAGTGTTCATGGATTACTCAGCATCAAGTCTGCAAGCATTTTTATACTACTTACCCGAATTCTAGAATTTAGAACTTATTTGTGCTTGATAACTAAACAGAGTGCTCGAATCATGGTGCAAGGCCTGACACCTGTTGGCTTCATGTTGGAATTATTCAAATGACACATGTGCTACTTGAAATCTTCTTGTTATAATATCTCATCTTTTTGAATCTAGCCTATTAACCAGTCTAAATGTTTCTTTCACAAACTTTTCTTTTTTCTTCATTTAGGACAGTGCTTGCAGGCGAATCTGCTGCATTTCAAAATGTGTATCAGTGAAATACTCTGTGTGCTTGTTACTTTGTTGCATTTTATTATTGTTTTTTCCAGATGTGGATGTGGATAAGCCTGATGAGAAGTCCATCATGACCTACGTCGCCCAGTTTCTGAAACATTACCCTGACATCTACGGCGCAGGCACCGAGGGACTGGGGGACGAGGTTGGTCTTTGTTTACGTCAAGCATTGGTACTGCACTCAAAGTCACTCAGATTTCTAAATGTACTATTTTTAATATGTCAAATTGATTAGTTTTTATATTAACCAGATAAAGACTAGCTATCATCAAATGGGGAAGACCTAGTTAGATATTTCTGAGTATATATATATATCTATTCTGAGTATATATAAAACACTGAGTATATTTTAGACGTAGGATGTTGATGATTAATGTTGAAGATTATAGCAGTGGTGAGAACTCCATCGCAGTGTTTTGAGAGCTGAAATAACTTCACATCCATCGCATTGCTGCACATTAAATCCCTTAGCTTTGTGTGACTTAATGAAATCTAAGTTTGACTTTCAGATTGTATCGGATAAATTCACAGTGAGCAGCATTATGACACAGTGTGTAAAGTAGTTATTATTGATGGTGCTTTAATTTTCCAACTTTTAACAGTGCTGAAATGACATATACATTATTGTAACTTTCTTAAACTTTGGGAAAAAATGAAAAGAGGCATTATCTATGGCATTCTAGAGAGTAAATGTCCAAGAAAAATGGATGATTTCTCTTAACATTCAATTAGAATAGGATAACGTTGGTTTTCAATATTTTCCTGTGCCTATGTCTACACACAAAAAATAAGAAAAAAAATCATAGGACTCATATGATTTCACAATCACCTTTTAAAGTTAACATTAAAAAGAACCATGTAGGTCATCATATGTATGCTCAATAATTTACCCAACATTAATGAATAGAAATTTCTGATTTTTTTTCCTACTACAATACTTTTTGTTAAGAATCTGTGATAAGTCCTCTCTGAGTGGATTTCTTAGGCCAATAGATACGTGATCTTTTTGTGCTTTTGGAATGTTTCACAGCTTCCTTTGTAGAAGGTCCCGGTTTACACTTCAACTTGGGAACCAGAATGTCCTTCTTCCTGGTGTGTTCTCCAAATACTGTTCAGTTGTATTTGTTTTTAATTGTGGAGAGAGGAATTGTCGGCTGGATGTAGATGATCTATATGGCAACATGACAACCCAACCAATCTGAAATGGACTTGCCAGGCTGCATGAGGCATTGTTCCTTCAGTGCTCTGATCTCAACTGGAGTTTCCAGTGTAGAAAGAAATGATGAGGGAGGGCAAGAAAACCAAAATATTTTAAAATGTGTTCCCAAAATAAGTTTAGAAAAAGGGCTATGGAAGGAAAAATATGAGGAGAAGCGCACTAATGGTTAGACACTAAGGAGTTACGAAGCAGGAAGGTGAAGCCACTGGTGGTCCTGGATCCCTTGGGTGAATTAATTTGACAGAGCGCTGTGAGTCTCTTAGGGCGTAGAGTCAGGAAAGCCTTTCTGTTGCTGTGAGGGACACACCTGCACTCAGACTATTAAAGGGTTTTACGAAGCACCACAGAAGCAAAAGCGAGTTTGTAAAGGCCAGCAAAGATGAGTATAAACATTTTAGAGTCATTTGGAGCTTTCTGGATTTTGACAATGTATTTGGACAAAGATATTTTTTTTTTTTTTTGCGAAAATAGCAAATTATTAAAATTCACATTGGATTTCCCCCATACAGAGAAAATGAGATTTCCATCCGTGTCTTCAGATTGCTTAACTGGAATTGTAACTGATTTGGTTTCTGAGGTTTTACTGTTTTAGTTGCCCCGATATTAACCAATGAGAAGTAAATCTTGTGGTAGGCAACTTCTGAGAAATAGAAGAGGCTTTAGATGGTGGCCGTGAGCATCAGTTTAGCCAAAACATCTCAGAAACGTGGAATAACCCATCCCCGATGTAAGCTTCTTAATTCACTTTATTAAAGATACTTTACCATTAATTACCTAAAAAAATATCTGACCAATTTGTGCAACTTTTGCATATCCTTTTCCTTAAGAGGATTTTTATTTTTTATCGTTCTCTAAACAAATAATTTTGTAAAGAATGTATTACAAGTTCTGCCATTTTCTGTAGTATTTGTATAAAAAAGCATAAGCACCTAAAACTCTTCATCAGTGTAAAATTTTCTATGATGCATAATTTATATTTTTTGCATGCAGTTTAAGACTCACCGAATAATGCCTAGCAAAAGGTGAGGATTTGACAGCCTGGGTGAATTCTGAGTGACTGGAACCTCTGAACAAGTCCCAGTAAATCTCTCACTTGTGTTGCAAAAATGTGGCATGAATACAGACATCCATTTTGTGAACTTGATTTCTGTATCACCCTCATGAGTTTATTTAGTTTATGGACGCCTTTGTAAATATAACTTTTTGAACTGGACATGGATATTGTCATCCCTTCTTAACTTCAGCCAATCCAAGTGATAAACTTGTTTGCCTGTGATGATCATAACATAATTAGTACTTAAATAAAATGTACCTATTGGCTGATCTCTTTCACAGGTTAAACTTTGCTTTTTTTTTTAAAAAAAAAAAGATTTATTCATTTTTGTTGGAAAGTCAGATATACAGAGAGGAGGAGAGACAGGGAGGAAGATCTTCCATCCATTGGTTCACTCCCCAAGTGATCGCAATGGCTGGAGCTGAGCTGATCCAAAGCCAGATGCTAGGAGCCTCCTCCAGGTCTCCCATGTGGGTGCAGGATCCCAAGGCTTTGGGTCATCCTAGATTGCTTTCCTGGGCCACAAGTAGGGGACTGGATGGGAAGCTGGGCTGCCAAGACACAAACTGGCACCTCTATGGGATCCTGACAAGGATTCAAGGTGAGGATTTCAGCCAATAGGGCACAGCGCCGGGCCCTGCCTTATTTTTCAATCCTTGCATTTTCACATTGCACAACATAGTCTTAATTTAGCTAGAGAAAAATGTATGTGTTAATATTTTGGGAGGAAAAAAAATTGGAGCCCAAATTATCTCATTTTTTTTTATCCAGATATTTTTGATATGTTTAATGCTAATTCAACCAAGACAGATTTATAAAATATGTGTATATTTTATAATGTATATATTGTCACATGGCTATTTAAGATTAAAATTGGAACATAATTTTGTAGGTAACTTTGTTGCCTTATTGGAATGGAACATTTTCATATTTTCAAAATCAATGATAGAATCCTGAATAATTATACCCTTAAAATTATTTATCTCTAGATAGATGCCCCCAATTTTTCTTATGTTTATATGATCAAAATCTTTGATTTATGTTATGTTTCTGTATGTTATTTCTTACATTGTTAGGAAATATTTCCAAGTTTGTCATCTTTTGCAAATTGTATCCAAATATTTAAGGTAAGATTTAAATGATGACATAATGGCCTCTTTAAAAGGCACCTGGCATTCTGTAGCCTGTTAGCAATTTCTTTGCATGCACTTATCTTTATGTATGTATTTCTTTTAATGCTTTAATCATGTTTGTCTTTTTCTAACATAACAGATAACATATATCTGTCATTCAGGGTTAGTGGCTATTTGAGCCACTCATGGATTTACTTACTAATCTCTAATTGTAAGATGTTATCAATTTATTTTTAATAACACATAATATCACTAATGGGAAAAATTAACCGTTAATTATGATGTTTAAGTGTAAGATGGAAAATAAAAAGCACAATGAATTATTTTTGTGTCTTAAAATAGTAGGTGGGAAATTATTTTAGAAAGTTGGTCTTCACTTAGTTTGTCAATCTTCATTTCTTGATACCTCCTCCATTTCATATTAGATCACATGGTTTAGTTATTGTCGTGATGTAATTGGTGCTCAGAAATATTTTTAGAATGAATGTTTACAAATTTTTCTACCCAGGCAAATTAAGTGCTTATCGCCTACCTAGCTTTTAGGTGTGAGGTAAAAAATATACTGATATAATAGACTTTATGCTAACATTAGAATATAAAATCAGAAATAACTTACTTCATATAAAATATTAAGTTTATATGATGTACAAATTTATGTAGAAACATGGTACAATAAATTGAATCTGTTACTGAGCATGAGAAAGACAAGGAGAGAGAGGAAGAGGGAGAGAATGTTAGCCACTTAGATGTTTGAAGTTTAACAGGTGTTCTGTAGGCCTGTATATTTCATGTCTGCTGCATGTGTGTGAAAATGACCATTGAAAGGCATCTAGATGGATGGGTTCTGGGGCTCTGAGGGTTGTTTTGTACTTTATTTCTCTTAAGAAAGCAGAATATTTAATCATAAACAGCTCCATCATTCTTTTGCAATTGGCTAGAAAATTTTCCATAACCAGAAAGGGTTGTTTACTAAAATCACTCAAAAATATTTTTAAGATTTAATCATTTATTTGTAAGGTAGATTTTGGTGAGGACACAGGAGGCAGAGGGCAGGGTGGAGCCAGGCCAAATCCACACACAGGGACTCCGTGTGGGTCTCCAGCATGGATAGCAGTGGCCCAAATACGTGGGCTGTCTTTTGCTGCCTTTACAGGCACATGAGTAGGGCTCTAGATTCAAAGCATGGGAACCAGGGCCTTTGCTACCACCTGTTATGGGAAGTTGGCATCGTGAGCAGTGGCTTAAAACACTATTTACAGTACTTATCCCCTAATAAAATATTTCAAAAATATAATCTTTCCTTCTTAGATGACCTTTTTACTGTTATTGTTATTTTCTGTGATAATGCTTTTATAGGAAATAGATTCCCCCTTCCACCTCACTTTCCTTACTGCCCATTCCCCTCCTCACCATTTCTCCCCATATTATTATAGTAGTAGAGTCCTTTAGTGATACAACATTCTGCTATTTAAGTGCATCCTGGCATTGTAGCCATAAGCAATGTTAGAAAATTTAGTATCAAGTTCTCAAGTTATATGTAACAATTTCATTGGGAATCCTTCTTTTATTCAGCAGTAGAGACACATACTGCAATGTATCTTCACTTCCTGGTATGCTAGTCTCCATTGTACAGTTCATCCATGAGAATATATGTATATACATATTTACTTGCAGATCTGTTATGTTGTATTTTGCCTTATATCAGAGAGAACATATGATATTTGTCCTTTGGGGACTGAGTTATTTCTCTGAGTGCAATGGTCTCCAGGTAGGACCATCTAATTGCAAATGGTAGAGTTTCATTCTTTTCAATGACTGAGTAGTATTCCATGGAGTAGATGTACCACTCAGATGACCTTTTCTGAAGTCATTTTAATTGGCCACGAAGAGTTCCTCTCAGTGACAGGCCTAAGTGAGTGTTGCGTGCAGGCAGTAATGAGAAGTCTGTCTGGGAGACTCAGTGGTGAGTCAGTCCCATGGTCGGAGGGCCACTGATGATACTCACACTGATCTCTGGTGCTTTAAGGGTAGACCGGGAGCAGCTGCAGAGCTCTTGCAACTCTTCCAAGTGTGCTATGAAAATCAAACAGTGCAGACCCTGTGCCTTTGTTACTTTACTTCAAAAGAGTCATGGAAGGGTGTTGTAGCACAACCAGTTAAGCCACCACATCCCATGTGCGCACTGGTTTGAAATCCCACTACTCAACGTCCAGTTTAGCTCCGTGCAGATGTGACTGGGAAAGCAGCATCAGTTGACCTAGTGCTTGAGTCCCTTGAGTCCTGTGGGAAACATGAATAGAGCTGTGGTCATGTGGGGGGCAGGGGATGAGCACCCCCCAGTGCGTGAGCACCTCTGTGTCTCCCTGACTCTCGTTTTCCTCTGTAACGCTGTCCTTGAAATAATTTGTTAAAAAAGTAAAAACCTAAAAACCCCGCAAGTTCCAGTTCCATTCCTTTCTCTTACTGTATTCTCAATCATTATTCTGTAGATCTATTCAGTGCTTCTGAGCATCCTACAGTGCTAGATTAGAGCCAGAAAGACCTGCATGCAGTTTATAATACGGAGTGTAAAGAAGAAATTTAATGGCACATATTACCCTGGTAGCACGGTGAGAAACAACTGAGAATTTGTACTTGTAAACTGTTTTCAAGTGCCACAAATCTATAAAATACATGCATGATTGCTCTAGCATTCTTAGGATAGATGATCTTAAATAAATCCTAGGCCAGGTTACGTCAGTGCTGTGATGGCTCCTGCTTTGTTTGTGGAAACAAGAATGCCAGTCCCAATTTTGTATTCTCAGTTTGGGATATGATGGCTGCGTGCACTCATCTAGAAATTTGGTAAGACAATTACAGGGATCATGTGTCCAGGATGTAGAATGCCAAATTGGCAAGACAAATGTTTTTTCTGTCACCACCATATTTATTCGAATGCTAAATATTAGCTCCTTGAATTTAGTCAAAATTAATTCCATCTAGAACAAACTGCCGTCACCGGTGGCCTTGGGTTAGGAAGCAACTCACAGATGGCCATTTCCACTCTACCTGTTATTCTCTCTACATATGTTTTTTGAACTGAGCACATTCCCTGTGACTTGTTGATTGTAGGATCACTCAAATATGAAGCAGTTAAATAAATGTGCAGTTATTAATAAAATTGCAATGTCTTCTGGTTTCCAGAGAGAAGACAGACTAATTTTGAAGGAAGTGAAAGTGTGGATAGAACAATTTGAAAGAGACTTGACCAGAGCACAGATGACAGAATCGAATTTGCAGGACAAATATCAGGTAATGCATGCAAAAGAGTTCAATTTTCAAAATATGTTCATGAATAAAATCGATATGTCAGTTAATTGATGCTGGGTCTTTAAAATTACATTGAGGAAAATCTTTTAAGCATTGCGCATCATCTCAAATTTGCATATGACTTAGTAACTGCGTCTCTTTCAGTATAGACCTTTCAGGTCCCTTTTGGTCTACACTGCATAGGAAGCGTTGAGCTTGATGGATTTTTCCAGCGTATGAATGACTCAGAACAAACGCACCTTCCTTGTTTTCTGGGACTCATGTTCTTTCACTAGTCTTCACCTGGAAAAGACAAGGTTTCGGTCAAGTTACAAATGAGCACAAAAGCTACTGAATGCATTTAAGTTTTTGCAAAATGCATTATTTGGAGTGAGCCTGGGAAAGATGTCTCTTTTCTGACTCGCTGATTCAACACTAGTGTCGTTAGGCTGCCGTGAGAGGGCGTCCTTCAGTCTCATTCAGCTCTCGGTGACTCAATTTCTGCTTTCAGTATCCACTTCCAAAATAGTTTTTTCCAACAGACTTTTTCTTATACAATGCAATGATTTATACATGATATGTTTGTCACTGTTTGCCACAGAAGGGGTGCAACGAGTAAGAGATTCAATTCAGACAATAGCAGGTTAGCTATAGCATTAGTGTATATCAAGTAATCATATCTATAAAATATTCCCAAATTATCGTGGATGATAATATTTATTTGTTAAGCAGAGCAAAGCAATAAATACATACTTATTATGCATGCACTCAATTGCTTTGAAAGGTGATTTTTTTAACCCAAATTAAAAATTTCTGGGATGAGTTCCATGAAAATAAAAATGAGCAAGCCAGCAAACTGGAAATAGAAATGCAAGAATAGAATGACTGTATTTATTCATTGGGGAATTTTAATTTTGCTGAACGTTATAAAGAAAATCAATGCAAAGGTTACTTGCAAAGATGTGATTAAATGAGGGTAAGCAAAGGATTAAAACATTGTAAAACAAAAATACTCTTCTCGTCCAGAGTGGTCACTGTTCTCTTCAAAATGGGCCTGGAGACTGTCCCATCTGAAATCCAGATATTGGACACATTGCTTTCCCTTTGTGCGTTAGGTTTTCGGCATATTTCAAGTGATCAGTAATATTGCATCTTCCAGTTTTTTTTTCATGCAGAAAATTCTTTGGAATAAAATTAAAAAGTAATTTTGTTTGGATTGTTTGAAAATTTTATACAAAAAGGATATGAAAGGAAAATGTTTATAAATGCTTGCTCACCATCTCCCCCTAGTGTTCTTCATGTGAATGTGCATGCTCATTTAGATGCGTTATCTGCTGGGTTCTTTAGAGCTGTTCTGGTCTAATACATACTTGCCAGTATTTTAAATTCATATTTGAAAATTGAGTCACATTTTAGAATACAATAATTTAATATGAAAGGCAGAGCCTTGATTAGTTTTTAATGTTGCTATGATTATGTTTGCATAATATAAGTGAGCATATTTTATCGTACATAATACAACAATGATACAAAATTAAAGGAAAGGTTATCATGTAAATGAGTTCTGCTAAAATAAACTTATTTTCCCTGGATTTCTTAAGCACAAATTAAAGTATTTTTAAAGTATATTTATTTGCCCAAAAGAGCAGGAACTGGGCTAGCCAGAATCCAGGCGCCTAGCACTGGTCTGTATCTCTCACGTGGATGCAGATGCTTACGCCATCGTCTGCTCTCCTCAGAGTCCTCATTAGCAGAAAGCTGCAATCAGAAATACAGCGGGGAGCCCAGTATAGGCGCTCGGATGAGGGATATAGGTGTCCTAGTGATCATCATCATCATTATGCCAAGCATCTTCCCCAAATGTAGTTACTCCGATTCGGGTTGTTTTGGTTCCTGTAAGTTATTTGGTAGTTTGCAATAAATTCACTATTGTGAATGTCATTAGAAATGTGTACCTTTGTTTATTATTTTCCAACAAACATGCACTGGCATGTGAGTCATTTAACATGAAACGAGAAGCCCTGTGTGTGAGCCTGGCCTGCGTTATTGCCCTTGCTGAGTTACTTCTGGGCTTCAAAATAGCAGCGCTTATCTGTGTTGGAGTGAACCAGAGAGGACACGGAGTCAAAAACGCTTAACACGCAGTCTCCTGTTCAGAGCCTGATGCGTCCTTGTGGCCATGCGTATCCTGATTGCCTTTAGTCTTATCAACAGCATATATTTAGTGTTATCCAAATATAGTGGATTGTTATTTGGGAAATGTGGTTTCCATTGTTTTTGCTTTGTTTTGACTCATTGCCATATTGTTGCTATTTTTTCTCTTTTAGTCATTTAAGCACTTCAGGGTTCAGTATGAAATGAAGAGGAAGCAGATTGAGCATTTAATACAACCATTACATAGAGATGGCAAGTTGTCACTTGACCAAGCTTTGGTAAAACAATCCTGGGACAGAGTGTCCTCCAGGGTGAGTTCGCCTGCAATTAATTTTGTTAGATCTTGCATAATTTAGTCAAGCACACTGTTTATCATCTTTTTTTTTTTAACATGGTGGTATTGCATCAGAACCTAAGGCCCGTGTTTGGGATTGCAAAGGCTTTATTTGGTGGATAATCTTTGTCCTTTTGTTAAAGTTTTTCTGTAAAATAAGGGTAGGGCTTGGTTAGGCAGCCATTTTCATAATTAGCCTGCATGTAATATCTGCTGTGTACCAGAGTTTGGAATATCTGGACTGGAGAGCCACTGCATCAATAAAATCATCCGTGCTGACTCTGCCAATATAACTTCAGACAGGACTCTAAATTCAATACATCTATAGCGATGTAGTTTGTAAGTTGATATTTTTGTATAGCCCATGAATGCTATGATACATTTCCAAATGTTTCTGGATAGAAAAAGAAGTAGAAAACATATCGAACTCCTGTAGGACCATCTGGGTTTCTTCTCAGTTTATTCACCTTGATGCTGAGTTGCTTGGCAGAGATAAATCTTGGCTTGAATCTCCTCATATTCTCTAACCAAGTTTCATCAGCAGTCAACAATCTTTGTTTTAACTCATTTTATTATTTCATGATCCAGGTCTGTAAACTTTGGGATTTCCTTTCGCCAGTTGCTCAAATCCCTTCCTCTATTCACTGATTTCCCCTGTATTATTACAACAGTATAGGCCTTCGTAAACAGTCATAAATCCATCATTCTGCTATTTAAGTGTATCCTAACATTGTAGGTATGGACAAGGCAGAGAGTTCAGCATCCTGTTGTTAAGATGCAGTTAACGATTTCATTGGGAGTCCTTTGATCTGGAAATAGAGATGAATACTGCGTTGTATCTACACATCTGGATAGGATGGTCTCTATTATACAGTTATGATGCATCTCCATATTCTTAAGTGAAAAGCCACAAAGCAAAATCAACAACAGGAAGAAAACAGATTTATAATGCCATGAAGTTAAATAACGTGCTACTGGTTATGATAGTCCCTATTGCACATTTACTGTGCATCCCCTTAATGAAAAAACCACAAAACAAAATCAATAATGGGAAGAAAAAAAGAAAATTTACAACATGGAGTTATTCATTTCTTTAGCGATGGGTCATACAGCAGCATCATTTTCTTCAAGAAACTTTTTGATTTTCATTTATGCAGTGACGCGTTTGTCGTTCAGTAGCATGTTATGTAGATTTGTGTCAGAATACACTTAAATAGCAGAATGATGGACTTATGGTCATTAAAGAAGGACTGTATTATGTAATATGGGGCAAATCAGTGGGTGGGGGAGGCACTTTGGGCATGGGGGAAGGGAGATCCCAAAGCCTATGGAAATGGATTATAAAGTAATAGACTAATATAAACAGTTAAAAAATCTTAAAAGCTTTCACATATAGCTTTATATGTCCTGGTTTGTGCATTTTCTTTCTTCTGGTCATGAACCTGAAGGAAACCTTTTCATTTTCTTTCACATTAATAATTTTCATGGTGAAGGCCAAGACTTACAATCCCTGGATCCCTGATATAAGGCAACCTTCATGGAAACAAATAGATATATCAATAAACAAGTATGCATAGATTCTCATGAACAAGCTGTAGAATGAATACTGGAGTACTGCAAAACAAAGAGGCATGGCAGTATGCATCTCTACTTGTTACCAGAAAGAGGAGCCCCAGTTAATACATCTTGACAGCTTGGTACTAGAGTTCTTCCATCATCTGCACCTGCAATATTGTGAATCACATAAATAGTAGAATGTTGGAATTGTGACTATAGCTGAAGAACTACAAAATGGTAAAAATGTAGGGGAAAATGGGGGGTGGGTTAGATGGGGAGCGAGCAAAGGGATGGAAAGGGGGAAACACTATGCCTACAAAACTGTATAATGAAAAAATATAATAAATACAAATAATTCCAATTTGCTGCACTTGTTCTGATGCTGTAGGTGGTTTCAATGGGATTCTATTGATACACATCTGCTAGTGTAAAACCACTGTATCCTCCGAGTGTGTCTGCAAATCCAGTCTCTTCTCTGCCAGCAAAGATCACATAAAAAATCAGTAGTCACCCTTTCGCATAAGAAAAGCACTTAAGCTTTCAATAATATCAGTTTGCATTGGGCAGCTTTTGATACAATTAAATACCTGAGGCAAGTAACTTTATGAAAGACAGAGGTTTAGTTTGGCTCATATTTCTGAGGTCCACAGTCCAATGTCAGGTGGGTGGACTCCGTTAGTTCAGTCTCCCTTGGGGGTGTTCTTACTATCAGATTCGCAAAATATCACAGGGAATAACGTGGAAAAGGACAGGAAGCACATGTCTGTCTGTGTTCATGTAATTTCATGTGAAATTGCCTGGATTTAACCATGGGCTTCCATCCTGAACTCCTGAAATAATCTCATCAGCTCTCACCGGCTCCCATCACCATTGTGAAATTAAGTTTTTATGTTCTCAGAACTATTTATAAGACATTAGGGAATAAACTCCAAAGATTAATTTTTTTTTGCTTGTAGCTAATTTTCTTTCCATCTCCAAGAGAGCAGACTTAGATCACAGATATTTTTGTTCATGAGGTTTGTTAAATTAGCTTGAAACTGCAAACGTTAAACCTGTATGGTCTTTAAATTCATTGGTGGAAATTTTAAGGTTAATGTTCTGTATCAAATTTGTTTCTACAATTCCTTTTCAGCTCTTTGATTGGCATATACAGCTTGATAAAGGCCTTCCTGCCCCCCTGGGCACCATAGGTGCTTGGCTGTACAGGGCAGAGGTCGCCCTGAGAGAGGAGATTGCTGTTCAGCAATTACATGAAGAAACGGCAAACACGATACAGCGCAAACTTGAGCAACATAAGGTAAAAGTTCCATCGTCCAAGCCCTAGTGTGGTCTGAGCAGTTGTCAGAACCTGAACCAGTGGAGATTGCCCAAAAATGGTTTGCAAGCTATTCAGAGATGTTGTATTTTGTAGAAGTTATCTCATTTGCATTTTCCTTTTGTGAAATTGTTAATGATGATGCCTTCAAATGTATATTTCCTGTATTATTTACCATTAGTTTGTGATGATTTTCTCTGGCACTTTATTTTTTCATAGTAATATAATATTGAGAGTAGCTTCAATATAGTTCATAGATATAATTCTAAAAATATAATGTCTCTTTGCCTCTCCCACTCATTCCCTCCTCCCCTCTCCTCTTCTTTTAAGAAAAAATATGTATATCACTTTTACATGAAAGGCAGAGTTATAGCGAGAAGGGGAGACAGAAGGAGGGGTCTTTTGTCTACTGGTTCACTTCCCAATGGCTGCAGTGGTCAGAGCTGTGTGGTTTCTTCACTGCCTTCTCATGCCATAAGCACAGACGTGGGCCAGAAGTGCAGCAGCCAGACATGAGCCAGCACCCATATGGGCTGCCGATGCCGCAGATACAGGGTTAGCTTGTTAGGTCATGGCCCTGGTTCCCGTATCCCTTTCTCTCTCCATTTCTTTCCTTTTGACACCTGCATGTGTCTCCCTTGCTTAATTTCTCAAAGGTGTGCCACAGGGAGCATGTGTTTATGTAAGAATGGACTGGTGACTGGTGATTGGTTTCAGACCTCTTGTGTGACTCCATCCTCGAAGGAGAGCTGGCAGAAGCCGTCCTGGCCTGCCCCTGTGGAGCAGGGGTGAGGCTGCAGCAAGCAGGGATCTTGGGTTTTGATGGCCACTGATTTCATTTGGACTTTCTTATCTTGATGTGTTTAAGTTCCAATAAATTTTGTCTGCATGGTCTGTGAGAGCAGAAACCTAACTGAAAATGCTGGTTTCTCATATTAATTCAATCACACATTCTGTTCATCGAGTTCTGGTACCCAGGATCTGTGCCATAGTATTGAGGTTTTACCATCTGTGTGGAAAACAAAGTGATGACAAGAGGTTTCTACTACTGGCAACAGGCATGTAGAGCTCATGTGTATTTTCTGAACACTTGTTACCATTAGTACTTTGGCAATAGCTGGTCTAATGGGTGTGAGGTCATGCCTTTCATTTGCACTGCTCTAATGGTTAGTGGTGTCAGATTTTTTTTTCCAAATGTCTGTTGGCCATTTGCACGTTGTCTTTGAGAAATGCCTATGCAAGTTCTTTGCCTATTTCTTTAAAGTGATCATTTGCTTTGTTGTTATTGAATACTGCCCCCCATCTGATGTATGATTTACATTTTCTCCTATTCCACAGGCTTTGCTCTAACTCTGCTGATTGGGTCTTTGTGTTGAAGCTTTTGTTTGATATAGTCCATTTTATCTTTTTTTTTTTTGCTTTAATAGACTATTCTTTTGGGATCATATCCAAGAAATCATTGCCTAGAGTAATGTCCAAGAATGTCTTCCTTGCGCCATCTTCTACAAGGTTTCAATCCCTGGTGTCACAGTTAAATCTTGAATCGATTGATAGCTGATTCTTGTGTGAGAGGTAAATTAGAGTTCATATTTAGTCTCTTGCTTTTGCATATTTGGTTTTCCCAGCACCACTTATTGAAGAAATTGAACTTTTCCTATCGTGTCCTTGGCACCTTTATTGAAAATCAGTTAACTGAAGATACATGGATAGGAATTCCCTTCCGTCAATTGCTCAGGCATTTAATTTTCTAGGATTAGCCCTCCCTACCACCAAAAACTCAGAGAAGCTCCCAAGCTTCCTGTCGTCTGTATTTTTAAGAAAAGAGCATGACTGTAAAGTCTGCTTTAGCTGTATAGACAGTAAAATCCAGTCCTGCTTGCCAATCCCTCCATTTATTGAAATAAAAAAAAATTGCATGGGAGCCAGAGGTCATGCCTCAGTGGAGATCAAGTCACAAGAATTCTTCCTGGGATTAAATCAGTTTCTGGCTTCTTAGAGGCATAGAAACACCTGGACCATGCTCATTTCAGAGGTCCACTATTTTAAAAATTAGGCAAGTTCTAAATCAGAGCTCAGGGTTCCACAATAATACCACTTTAGCAATTAGCAGGAGGGTAGCTTTATGTATAATAATAGCAATCCGTGCTTGCCAATTGAAACTGTTTTCAGTAATGTGATGTTCTTATCGCACAGTAACATGATGATAAGAAGAAAATGATAATAAGCTGAGTGTTTCAGAAAATATAGACAAGAGGATTTTTTTTTTGCCACACAAAAATGATAAATGTTTGAGGATCTAAAGAAGTATATGGCAGTTTGACCTATACACTGTGTGTGTGTTTGTGTGTGTGTGTGTGTGTGTTATCAATGAATTGCAGCAAGGTGGAGGAATCCACTATGGGGGGAGGGTTGTGAAAGGGGTGGGGGGAATACCCAGTGCCTATAAAACTGTATCACATAATACAATGTTAATAACAATAAAAAAAAAGAAAGACACAGAAAAAAAAGAAAAAAGAAAACTTTTAATTACATGAAACAAAATGACTTAGATTTTCAAATAAAATTCCAAGCATATATCCCTTGTGAGTTAAATGGGTTACTTTTGCCTGTGTGCAATGATGACTTTCTCTGTGCCAGGATTTCCTCACTGAGGAGCTACGTGGTCCCAGGCATGTGAGCTGACTGCAAACGGGCGTCTTGATAAACATCCATATGTGTTTTCCCTCACTATGAAACCTGATGTAAATGTGCCAACAGGACAGGTGCTGTGCTGTGATGAGACGCCCATGTCCCTGACTCGATTGCCAGTCCCCGTCCTGACTCTGCCACTTCCAGTGGACTGATGCATTGCAAAAGGCAGCAGATAAGGGCTTGAATGTTTGAACTTCTGCCCACCCACATGGGAGGCCCATTTGTAGTTCTAGGATCTTCACTTTTTCCTGGAATGGAAGACTGTCATGGCCTTTTGGGATGTGAACTAACAGATGGAAGATATCTCGCTCTTATTTATCCTGTAAAACTAAATGTTCTACCAGAAATACTATCCCTGTAATATTACTATACTATTTACTAAATAATTATTTCACCAAAATGTATTAAAAAGATTAATTTGTTTGAAAGTATATCAGAAGGTGAGAAGGGGGAAAAGGAAGGACAGGGAGGCAGGGAGAGAGAGAGGTCTTTGCTTGTTCACTCCCCAAAAGCCCACAGTGACAAAGTTCTGGTCTGGGCCATGTCACAACCAGGAGCCTGGGACACCATCTAGGATTCCCACATAGCGGGCAGGGTTCTAGATACTGTTGTTCAGAAGTGACCAGATTCAAACCAGTATCCATAACGGCATGCCAGACTGCAGGCTGCAGCCCAATTGACTATGCCACAATTCAGGCTTCGTGATAAAAGTAAGAACTAATGGCATAATGCAGGCAGCTTTACCTGGGATGGTTATGAGTTTTGAGTTGGATGACATGAATGTTGTGTGTACATTTCAGCACTTGCATAAAAATCTGAGGCTCTCCATGAGTCCTTATGACTTCATAGAGACAGACAAGGCAAGAGAGCCTTCCTCAGTCACCTAGAGTACAGAAAATAAGCCACAGAAAGCATAGATGAAGTGGAGCAGGGAGAGGCAGAGGAGCAGGAGTGGTTATCCAGACCTGAGGACAATGGAGGAACTGAAGAGAAGCCCAGAGAATGCAATGGCGAGACACAGCAAGCATCCGGAAGTGGGTGAAGGTCAAGACCAGAGCCAACAGTCAGTGTTTATTGAGGCAGGATTGTCCACAAACTCTGGGTACAAAGGCATGGAACATTACGGTCAACTATATGAGACAAGGTCTCATATCCATTTATTGCTTGCCCATAACAAGTGAAGCATGTACGTAAGACATTTTAATCATTAGGAGCTAATATTCTGGATTTCCTCAAGAGTTCTGAAGCAGTCCATCATTGTGAATAAACATTGTATGCTGTGCTGGAGATGCAGAGAGCTGAGCAAAGCACAGTACAGGATTCACCGATGCATCAACCAGAATGCTCGAGAGGAGGTTATCATCACATCAGTCCACATAATGATTCTGATTTTTCTTTTGCATATTATTAAAGAGAAGAGATTTATGTATTTCATAGGAACTATTTTAAGACAGTTACCATACATTCCTCATTCGTGCCTTCAATACCTCACCTTCCTTTAAATTTTTCCTTAATTTTTCCCGAAATATAATTTCAGTTCACTCTACATTCATAAGTTTAACGTAACATTAACCATAATATTCCAGTTAAGAAATATAATGATCTCAGTTCCATAAGAGTATAAACACAACAATCAAAGATAGATGGTACAGTTTCAATATTTTTGGATTTGTTGGTGCTGGATGTATGGCCGAGAATATGGTCTGCCCTAGAGAAAGTTCCAGACACTGACTGAAGGACGTGTATTCTGTACTTGAGGAAGGAAAGATGCTGCAGATATAGATTAGATCCAGTTGGTCCATCATGTGGATTAGCTCTGTCGTTTCTTTGCTGATTTTCTGTGTAGCTGACCCATCCCGTGATGTGCAGTTTTGAAGTTCCCATTGTTGAAGTTTGTATCTCTTTTTAGATTCGTTCACATTCATCTTACACAGCCAGGCACCCTGGTGTTGAGTGTTTAAACACTTACTAAAGCCACATCTTTATGTTGAGTTGACCCCTTAATCATTACACAATGCTTTTAACATCTTTTTGTGTTAAAATCTATTTTCTTCCGATATTAGGATTTCTATTCATGCTTGATTTGACTTTTCCATTAGCATGTGATATTTTTTGCATTCTTCCACTTTGAGTTCTGTGTGTATATTTGTGAATGAGGTTTGTTTCCTGTGGGCAGTAAATAGATTGCTCTTGTTTGTAATCCAGTCAGCCAATCTGTGTATTTTAATTGGAGAGTTTGGGCCATTTGCATGCAAGATTATTATACAATGTGCCACTTCTCATGAAATTTG